TCATTCTCTCTCAAATAAATAAATAAAATCTTTAAAAAAAAAAAAGAGAAAATGTAGGTAGTCCTATCTCATGATAGATATGACATGAGAAGACAAATTTGAAAGGTATGTAGGACGTGGAATTGCTACAACTTGACGATGTTGGTCTAATCAGTGTCTGCTCACCTTTGTGTTACTTGACCTTCTAGTCTGGGTCACAGCCCTTTCCTCGGTGCTTACAACTACCTTTGACATTGTTTCACTTGGCACACGATAAAATTGTGATATTATTCACCATGCGGTCACTGCTATGTGCAGTTTTCTAACTTGGGTAATAAGAGTTTCTACCTAGTGAGAAAGAACTAAAGAAGCAGCAGCAGGTTTGGAAGGGACATGATGATTTCAATTTTTAATATACAGTAGACCCTTGAACCATGTGCTGTACCTTGACCCCCCAGTGATGTGGAAATTCTGGGTATAACTTTTTGACTCCCCAAAAACTTAACTACTGATAGCCTGCTCTTGACCAGAAGCCTTACTGATAACAATTAACGCATTTTGTATGTTCTATGTATTATAGACTGTATTTTTTTTACTCTATTCTTAAACTAGAGAAAAAATGTTACTAAGAAAATCATAAGGAAGAGAAAAATACATTTACAGTACTGTACTGTATTTATCCAAAAAAGTATAAGTGGACCCACACAGTTCAAGGGTCAGCTGTATTGCATTTTAGGTGTGTTGTCGAAAAACGAAAAACGACCTCCATGATTCAGAACCAAAATAGAACAGGAAGATAGAGTTGGGGATAAAGAGGAACAATAGCTTTATTGCTTTGCCAGGTAAAGGAGGCCCCACAGCAGGCTATGGCCTTCAAAAACTGCGAGCCCTCCAGGCGCCTGTGTGGCTCAGCAGGTTGAATGTCTGACTTCAAGGTCATGGTGCCGGGGTCCTGGGATCAAGCCCTACGCAGATCCCCATGGCAAGCTCTGAGCTCTGTGGGGAGTCTGCTTGTCCTTCTCCCTCCGCACCT